AAACCCTAAACCCAAACCCCCCAAGATTCTTCACCACGAAGAGCTCCCCGGGCATGGCGTCGAAAATGCTGTCGATGGGCGTGCGCGCATCTGCGCAGCCCACGATGGCGCAGTAGTTGGCCTGCGCACTTCGGTTAAGCTTGGCATTGAGGGTTTAAGGTTAAGGGTTTAGGGTTTAGGGTTTAGGGTTTAGGGTTTAGGGTTTAGGGTTTAGGGTTTATGGGGTATTAAGGTTTAAAGTTCAGGGTTTCTAGGTGTTGTGAAGGTCCTCTGGCTACCCGTCGTAGGTACCCCGGGACCCTGAACCCCAGAAACCGGAGGAGGACATCCCGAAACCCCAACCCCTGAACGGATCACTCAAAGAGTGAAGCTTAATTACTCTTAAAGCGGAGACTCATAAAGCGGAGACCCCGAAACCCTAAACCCTAAACCCTAGAACCCTAGAGCCCTAAACCCTAAACCCAAAAAAAACATAAACTCTAAACCCTAAAACCCTAAACCCTAAATCCCTTAAACCCTAAAACCCCAAAGCCCTAACTCCCGTCTCGGGGCCTGTGGGCAGTTGGCAAGCGCCTTTCGCATGTCCTGCCCTTGCCGGGGAACCCGACTGTCTCCCAAGCAGAAGCGGGCGTTGCCTGAGGTTTAGGGCTTTTGGGGTTTAGGGTTTTGGGGCTTTGGGGGCTTTGGGGTTTAGGGGTGTAGGGGTTTAGGATTTTGCTGTTTAGAGGTTTAGGGCTTTGGGGTTTAGGGGTTTCGTGGTTTAGGGTTTTCGGGTTTTGGTTGAGGGCTCAGGGCGCGCAGGCGTTGGATTTTTTTGCCGGGGGTCTAGGCCTCATTTCTGAGAATTGGGTTTTGGGGTATCGTGTGATGGCGTCCTCAAGGATTGAAGTTGAAATGAACGGTTTCTTGGGGTTCGAGTATAAGGGTTCTCTGAGAGCTCCATACAGGTTCTACATGTTTTTGGTTTATGGTTGCTGCTCTTAGGGGTTTCCTGAACTGGGTTTTGAAGTAACCAGGTAGAAAAAATATAGATTTTTATTTCATAATGGCTCCTTCAAGGAACAGGTCCCCAAACAAAGTATTAAAGTATGGTACTCCAAAGCCCAGTTTTCTGTTAGCGGGAAAGGAAGAAGGATCCGCGAATATGCAAAACACATCTTGGGTCTGGGAGTTGGCGCATGCACCCTAACCCCACACCGCAAGGGTTTATTGATCCTGAGACTAATGAAGAGGGCCTCCGATACCAAGCGAAGATATGGAAGGCACTACGAGCCACCTTTGGCAAGCCACAGTTGTATCAACCCTCTAGAAAGACATCGGTATTACGAGGCTGATAAGGAAATCTTTCGAGGCCCAACCCTACACCCTAAACCCTAAACCCTAATCTCCCTAAACCCTAAACTCTAAACCCTAAACCCTAAACCCTAAAGCCGAGCTGCCTTCCTGCAGCATTAGCAGCGCCGCCGCTGGAGAGTTGGGGCTCAGGCCCCGAGTCTCATGGCTCTGGGGCGGCGGCGTGTTCTGGGAGGTCAGGGGCGCGAAGCCTTAGCTGCCCATTTAGGGTTTAGGGTTAGGGGTTTAGGGTTTAGGGTTTAGGGTTTATAGGGTTTAGGGTTTAGGGGTTAGGGTTTAGGGTTTAGGGCCAACCAACAGCAGAAAGTGATCGACGATCAGGTTGTGGAGGGATTCCCTGAGGAAACTATATGGGAGTTTCCGAAAATAAGGGTACCTTAATTTGGGGGTCCTTATAATAAGGATCCTGCTATTTAGGGTACTATATTAGGGTCCCCTATTTTCGGAAACCCCCATATCGCAACCAAGACGCAAGCTTGGACACTAAAAGCCCCAAACTCCAAACCCTAGACCTGAGACGTAAACCCCAAACTCCAAACCCCAAAAAAACAAACCCTAAACCTTAACCCTAAACCCTAAACTTAAACCCCAAACCACACCCTCAACTGAATCATAAAATCCCAAGACCCTAAACCAAGAGGCTCAAGTTTAGGCTCTGGGAGGCCATGGGATCCAAGAGGACAGCCTGATCGGGAGACGGGCCTAGAAATTCCACCCGGCCCGTCTGCAGATCGAAAAGGCCACCCACGATCCTGGGTCGGGTTTTAGAGTTTAGGGTTTAGGGGTTTAGGGTTTAGGGTTGGCTGTCTAGGGCTGTTAGTGGTATTGTGGGTCTTGGTTGCAAGGAAGGGGGGCATAAGCCTGAACCCTGAACTTTGGATAGTAGCCTCTTAGGAAACCAGCAGAAAAGAGAGAAAAAGTGTACTACATGGCAACCTGGGATCTCCAACTGCCCACTGCGGACACGATCTCGAATCACATCACTAAACTGGAGCAGAAAGTTCATGGTATTCAAGATGTTGGCGGTGATCGCCTGGTTAGCAACCTCCTCCATGCTGGCCATTGGCATACTTGCCACCGTCTTCTCCACAAGCGAAGTCAAGTGGCGAAGAAGTCCCTTCTGCCCAAGGAGGTTCTTCCCTGCTTTCCTAGGTTCTTCCATAATTTCCTGGGGAAAAGAGCCCAGTCTACAGAATGTATCCTTCTTGGAGTTAGCTCAAGGATGGTGGTGCGCATCCTTCTTGAAATCCCTAAACCCTAAACCCTAAACCCTAAACCCTTGAAATTAACTCTAGGATCCTTGGAGCGCGAGAACCACAAACAAACAAAAACTGCAACGCTAAAAACTCGCCGAGTTTCTTCGCATCGAAGTATGTCCGCGTAGCCTCAAGGCTGCTTAGGGTTTAGGGTTCAGGGTTTAGGGTTCAGGGTTGAGGGCTTAGGGTTTAGAGTTTAGGGTTTCAACATCCCATCCCAAGAAGAAGTTCAATGATTCCCCTCACAGATCGCAAGGCCTAACACCCGAAGGCCTAAGATTTAGCGTGTACAGGGCCAGCCCCAAAATCCAAGACAAACCCTTAACCCCTAAACCCTAAACCCCTAAACCCTAAACCCCTAAACCCCCAAACCCTAAACCCCTAAACCCCTAAACCCCTAACTCTTGCTTCTTTCAAGGAAAGTGGCACTGACGATGGCCTTGCACTCGGAGTGCCTCGGAAATGCAGTCACCGACTTTAGGGTTTAGGGTTTAGGGTTTAGGGTTTAGGGTTTAGGGTTTAGGGTACTACTTGTTCAGCGATAGTTCGAACCATAACATATGACCCCGAAACAAAAAGCAGCAAAACGTACGTTACACAAACCCGAAAGCCCCCATTAAAAGCAAAAAAACTCCCAAACCCCCAAACCCCTCCCAAACAATCCTACCAAACCCTAAAACCCTAAACCCTAAACCCTAAACCCGAACTTGCAGCAACTGAGGTGCCCTAGGACGAGGATCAGCCGGCTACCCAAGGTGCTGGAGCAGAACTCCAAGCTTCCCATCATACTGCCTCCGTTTTTTCGGTACACGGCTTGGCTTTTTTGGCTTCGAGTTTAGGGTTTAGAGTCTAGGATTTAGGGTTTAGGGCTTCGGGCTTATGGCGCAGGGTTTAACAGCCTCCAGGGGGCAGGGTTGGGGATGTTGGCCTCCTCTGGCTCAGGTTTTAGAGTTTGGGTTGAGGGCTTCGGGCTTAGGTTGTTGATGGAGCTCAGGCCGGGGATTCTGGGCTGTGAAGTAACCAGGGAGGAAAAAGTATAGACTGTTATTCATAATGGTTCCTTTCAGGAACATGTCCCAAAAACCCTAAACCCTAAACCCCTAAACCCCTAAACCCCTAAACCCCTAAACCCCTAAACCCTAATTTGGGCTCTCTGGGAATGGGCGTATCAAAGTATTGTACCGGGCTTCGGGCTTAGGGTTTTGAGGGAGATCAGGCGTGGGATTGAGAGGGTTTAGGGTTTAGGGTTTAGGGTTTAGGGTTTAGGGTTTAGGGTTTAGGTTTTCAGCTACAGAGGCTACTACATGGGTAGTTGTCAAAATTCTGGTCCCTTTTGGCGTACCCTAAATAATAGGTGCCGTACTATAATATGGACCCCAAAAAGGGGCCATAATTTTGACAACCACCCACATAGCATGATAGGGTTCACAGTGCTTGGCGGGTTTGGCGTTGGGTGGTGTAGGGGTTAAGGATAGAGGCGATACAGAGGCTTCAAAGTAGGGTCTTGCAGTATGAAAGAAACCGTGTACAGTGAAGCGAAGGAAAATTCGAACATAAGATAAGGACGATTAGTGCTAGGATTCATGGTATTTTTGACTCCAAGCCTAAACCCCAAACCCTGCACCCTAAGCCCTAAACCCGAAACCCCGGACATGGGCATACTCATGCTACAGCTCTTGGCTTCCACTGTATCTATAAGAAGGAACCCTAAGGAATAGCGCTGGGAAGGATTTCGGATCCTAAACATACTACTTGAGGCCTTTTTGGGGGTCCCCTGTTTTCGGAAACAAGTCCCATATGACTTCCAAGCCCTGAAGCCTGATCAACTCTCAGCTAAACCCTACCTTAAGAACCCAAAACCTACTTTTTTGTAGGGTCCCTATACATCCCATATTAGGGTGTATAATAAGAACCTACAAAAAAGTAGGTTTGTGGTATTTAAGGTAAACCCCAAATCCCAAACCCTAAACCCTGCACCCTAAACCCTAAAACCCTAAACCCTAAAACCTTAAAACCCTAAAACCCTACAACCCTACAACCCTAAACCCTGCACCCCAAACCCTAAACCCTAAACCCCAAACCCCAAATCCCAAACCCTAAACCCTAAAACCCTAAACCCTAAAACCTTAAAACCCTAAAATCCCTAAACCCTAAACCCTAAATCCCAAACCCTAAACCCTAAACCCTAAAACCCTAAACCCTAAAACCTTAAAACCCTAAAATCCCAAATCCCAAACCCTAAACCCCAAATCCCAAACCCCAAATCCCAAACCCTAAACCCTAAACCCCAATCAGAGGCCTTCAGCTACCCTCTACTATACCCCAAATACCTACTATTAGGGACCATAAGGGCTCCATTAAAGGGCCATTGGGGGGTCCCAATCAGAGGCCTTCAGCATGTGTGCAGGTGTTCGCGGCGTTGCGCAGAGAGTAGATGTCCCCAGGCATCGCGTCGAAAATCCTCGGGTCCGACGGCTAAGGCTCTTGCTAGGGTTTAGGGTTTAGGGTTTAGGGTTTAGGGTTGAGGGTTGATGGTTTAGGGTTTAGGGTCTAGGGTCTAGGGTTTAGGGTTTAGGATTTAGGGTTTAGGGTCAACCTGGACCCCAAATAACCTACCTTCTTAGGGCTCCTTATTATTATGGTTTCTTTAGACAAGTCCTTAAAAAAAGTCGGTTCCTTGGGGTTCAGGAAAGTGTTGGGGATCTGTCGGGTGTGTGTTGCATTGTTGGTTCATGCTTTATGGTTTGAGGTTTTCCGGGCGAAGGCTTCCGCAGGTCGGTTTCCAACGTGTTGAAAGTTGGTGTCTGCCACTTTAAGTGCTGATCTGAGGTTTCGAGCTAAGGGTCTTATTATAGGGGTCTTTGGATTGAGGGATTGGGCCTTAGGGGCTTTAAGGCTTTAAGGTTTTAAGGGGTTTAGGGTTCAGGATTTTACGGCTTGGGGCTGGGGGTCTTAGTGTGCAAACCTCTTAGATCCGGAATCCTCGGTTTAGGGTTTAGGGTTTAGGGTTTAGGGCGCCAAGTTAAAGGGAACTACAGGTGGGGAGTTTAGGGTATACAGGGCTTCTATAAGGCTTCTTATAAGGTATATATAGACCCTCTATAAGGCTCCTATGACGGTTAATGTCCTAGACCAAGGGTTTCACGATGATTCGCGCTTTTGGGCGGGTTTGGAGTTTCACCTGGCACGTCAAAAACCTAACAAGGGCTTGTTTGAGGTCTACATAAGGAGCCTAAACCCTGAACCCTATACCCTAAAGCTACAACCGACCTGTTTGAGATCTGAATAACTGATGGAACCCCTTAACCCTTAAACCCCTAAACCCTGTGGATTCTGCTGACCTTAACTGCTAGGCGGAACAAGGTGTTCAAAAAAAACTAAACCCTAAAACCCTAAACCCTAAATTCTAAACCCTAAAACCCTAAATCCTAAAACCCTAAACCCTAGGGTTTAGAGGGGTTTACGGCTTAAGGGTTTAGGGTGTAGGGTTTGTTCATACTCCCAGGGTTTAGGGCATAGGGGTTTAGGGTTTAAGGATCCAACTTCCTGGGGTTAAGGGCTCAGGATCTGAGTCTTCGGATCTTTTGGGTTTAGGCGTTCACTTTTTCGAGGGTCTAGGGTTGAGGACCTATAGGATTTGGGGTTTAGGGCTTAGGGTTTCGGATTTTTAATCACGGTTTAGGGTTTAGGGGTTTAGGGTTTAGGGTTTATAGAGTTTTGGGGTTTAAGATTCGGGGCTTCGGATATTGCAAGCTGAGGCGCTTCTCCAAAGGAAAACGGGAGTCAGCACAGCCAACTACGGCTGTGTGCGGCGCGTTGACGAGCTCGATATCTGCGGGCACTGGAGCTGTGACTCTAAACCCTAAACCTAGACCTAAATCCCAACCCCTATCCATAAACCCTAAACCTATACCCTAAACCCCAATTCCTAAACCCTAAACCCTCAACCCTAAACCCTTAGCCCTAAACCCTTAACCCAAAACCCGAAACCTGACTTCAACTCCTGCACTCCGAGCTCGATCCTTGAATCCTACACAACCCGAAACCCCGGGAAGCCGAAACCAGAGGAATGCTATAATATAGGGGCCTTAATGATTATAATACCCAGAGGGTCCGAGTACCCAAATAGTAAGGTTTTAGGTCCCAAAATCCATACTCTAAGTGGTTTTTGGACCCTGAAACCCTACTATTTGGGCACTTGGACCCTTAGGGATAGGGTTCCTTTAGAGGGATCCTTAAAGGGTTGTATAAGGGATGTGTGATGGGGTTCTATATTAGGGGCCTCAATAATTGGAATAGGGTTCTTGGGAATATTATACCCTGATTATAAAACTATATAAGCAACTATGTTAGTCTCGCTTAAGACTTGAAGCTCTGGCATGTGTGGGGTTTGGGGGTTTAGGCTTTTGTTTGGGTTGGGGCCCTAAACCCTAAACCCGGCTGTACAGGGATTTAGGGTTTGGGGAATTGGGCGCCATAGGGGTTTAAGCGTTTTCGAACCAGCGGGCTTTACTTGTAGTCTCCACTGCAGCTCCTATTTAGCTTTAAGAAGTTGTATATGTAGGACCCTTTAATAATGGGCACTTCAAAAAAGGAACTACAATGGAGACTACACGTAGATCCACAGAACCAGGGAGTCTGTATGTTTCTTGCGCAGGTGCTTTTTGCATCGGCACTTTGCATTTCTGTTTTTTAGAGTCTCCGTATAGGTGGGTGTTACAGAAATAATTCCTGTTCAAGCGGCATGCAAGGAATATCTGTCAGGCAAAATTCCAATCGTGTCTGCCTTTTAGCTATGCAGACTACTGGAACCCTAAACTCTCAACCCCAGGCCCTAAACCCTAGACTTGTCGTTGCAAGAACCGGATGTGGGAGTTGCTCCTTTGCATGCCAGGATTGCAGAATT